TCTTTTACTCAGACAGACGGAGATCTTTTACTCAGACAGACGGAGAAACACACAAACTGCAATAAAATTGGGAGCGTAAAAAAAGGTCAAATTAACAAAAAAAACTCTACTGGTTAGTATTGATACCGTGCGCTTAGTATTGTATCTGAATATAGCATTTGAGTATCAGTAATTTTGACAACCCTAGTTAAAATATTTTTAAAGCATGGACACTATTTTGTTTGGGTAAAAAAAAGGATATTATTTACAGAGAGGTTGTAAAAAAACATGAACAGAGTGCTGGAGAAATATCAAGCGTTTGTTTTTTTTTTTCTCGTAGAAACAAGCCTATAAGAATTTTGTTGTAATTTTGATGTTTTTTCGCTTTTTTATTTTCTTAATTGAAAAAAGAATTTGATTTGTAATTGTCCACTTAACTGGTAAATGGTTATGGCTTAACGAGCTAAAAGTAAAAGCATTGTACTAATTTGCTGTCCACCAATGATTATTCACTACTGATATGTTTCAGCATATTTTGACCTACCAGTATGTTAATCTTGACATATTACCTGTATTAGAAGTGCAGTGCATAATTGCTGAAAGCTGCCAACACTTTATTTAGGCAGCATTGTCCATTTTCATTTATTTCTGTCCAGAGTAGGTGAGAAGAGACGGCGATCATCATACATGCCTTGTACGCTGACCTTTGGTTAAATGTATATTTCCACTTAAATTCTGTGCATACCATGTCCTAATAAGGAGGCTGGTTTGAGCTTTGAGCAGGTTTGCAGTTATGCAAGGACAAAGTGGATCAGAGGAATCCTTCAATATTTCTTAGTGGACTTCTTCTCTTTTATGTGTGAGAGCTGTTTAATTAGCTCTGTAAAGAATTTTTTTTTCTACTTTATGTGTTCTGAATTTGCCTTACTTTTGAGAGTTATGTATTATTATTGGTCAACATTTATAGGGAGGCAAACTGTGACATCATCTCTGTTTTTGTGTGTGTTATCTCTGGGAGTCTGGTGGAAATAGAGCAGCATACAACATACGGTGTAATCTGGATTCTGGGAATCAGTCTGGCCAGCAGCCACAAAGAGACTTGGAGGCATTCAAGCTTTGACCTGCACAGAAACTGTCCTTAAATTATCTTAAAGATGTAAGAATAACAGATGGCCATTTAATAGAGAATAATACTACACTATAGCTCTGTATGCACTGGCAGGCTACTATTTCGTTCTCTTTT